GCCATTTTGGAAATTGATATGGTGTTTTTTCAGAAAATTAGGAGGCAACCTACATCAAGACCCAGCAATATCACTTTTGGGCATATACCCAAAGGATGCTCAAACATGCCACAAGGACATGTGCTCAACTATGTTTATAGCAGCATTATTTGTTCTAGCCAGAATCTGGAAATAACCTAAATGCCCCTCAACCAAAAAATGGATAAAGAAGATGAGGTACATTTACACAATAGAGTTAGTACACAGTGCAAAAAAAATGACATCTTGAAATTTGTAGGTATATGAATGGATTTAAAAAACATCATATTGAGTGAATAACCCAGACCCATAAAGACAAATATAATATGTTCTCACTCTTAAGTGGCTTTTAAACATAAAGCAAAGAAAACCAGTCTAGGATTCACAATACCAGAAGACCTAGACAACAAAGAAGACCCTAAGAGAGACATACATGGATCTAATGTATATGGGAAGTAGAATAAGACAAGATATCCTGAATAAATTGGGAACATGGACGTTATGGGAGAGGGCAGAAGTGGAGGGGGAAGGAAGGAAGGGAAATGGAGAAAAATATTTTGCTCAATAAAAACAATAAAAAAAGAATAGGAGGATGAGTCCTGTATGAGTGTGAGGAAAAAAGAAAAAAGAAATGAAGAAGATGAAGGTGGGTGGATTAGTTTATAGATATATAGATGTGTAGGAAGATGAAAGCAGGGTAGAACTGGTAACTAGAATGGAAAGCAGGATAGGCAGATGGATGAGTCGATGTGCAGATGTATAAGAAGATGAAGGAGGAAGAAGTGAGTGGATGAGTAAGAAAAAACAGTGGGAGCCATTAGTGAGTAGATGGATTAATAGAGAAATGGATAATTGGAGGGAGCAGTAGAGAGCTTGAATAAATGGGTTGATCGCCTGGAAGCAAGATAGACAGATGGGTGAGTGGAGAAAAGGATGGATACAAACATGACTGGACAGATATTGAAAGGAGGGATAATAACTTTCTGGAATTACTGATGGATAGAAAAGTGGAGGTATATAAGATGTCCTAGAGAGTCTGCATTCTCTAATACTGCCCATAGGAATTAGCCTTCTTTTAGGCCAGGGCCTGGCTTTCTACATCTCTACCCTAGGCGCTACAGCAGCCCTAGCATGGCTTCTTTCATCTCATAACATAATGGGAGAAAAAGTAAGACTCAAATTGAAGCCAAGGTGAGGAACGTGAGGTCCAAGATTTGCTATGGTGGGTTATGCACAATACATTATCCTTCCTTGGTGAGCACCTAGAAAATGATTCTTGCTGAGCAGTGGAAACAGAGTTCTGCCACTGCACACACTTGTTTAAAATGTTCTGAGAACCAGGCGCATGTTTGGGGGGTGTAGGCTGGCCTGTATAATGCCTTTCAGATGGGTATAAGATCTTTTACTCATCTTCTTAGAGATGACAACAGTCAATGATTAATCCCCATGCTGATGATATCTATCATGTTTGGTCTCACCTCACTCATACTTACTTTTCCCAGTGGAACTTGCCCATTGCTTGCTTACACATTTTTTCTGCTCTATCCTAAGTACCAAATTGGGTGTTATATGGCTATGATGGGGTGGAATTTGAGACTCAGCGCCAAGGTACAGAAGCATATCTCCATAAGGACAGCCTTACCCACGGTTTGGTCAGGTGGACTGTTGATGAATGTCCCCACTCCTGGTTGTAAATCTCTTCTAATCTATTGGCTGCATTCTTTTCATAGTAAGTAGCCACTGGCACCTTCCTTTAGCTGGGTATTGGAGACATGCTATTCTAGTTTCTGCCTGAGTGCTCTTGTAAAAAATTGCTTGTTGTATTTAATCGATTGCATCGATTTATTGCTTTTATTGATCGTTGGAAATACTCTGTATTATTGGAGGTAATTGCTTTCTTTTGAGAATGTGGAAGTTCTCCTCATTAGCATCCATTTTTCTCTGCAGCATTGAGCGGGGGTGGAGGGGTTGGGGGAACCAGATGCATAGGGCTCATTTTGGTGATATATTGAGGACCATCAGGGTGAACAATGGCTTTGAAATAAATCAGATGGAAGGAAGAATTGAACCCATTTACCATAGACTTGCTGGAGTTTTTGTAATAAAATGATCAGGCTACTTTTCTTCCTCTCTGTGGGGTCCCCTCTGAGTTTTCCAAGCATACTAGCGGCGGGTGAAGTAGCTCTCAGGGAGATGCATACCCCCACAGCAAGGAGTCTACATTGTGTTAGTATATGCCACAGAAGCCTTGCAGGTGACAGGGGGGCATCACTTGCCACTTGCGTTCCATGTGTTCCAGGTTCTCCTTCTGCATCAGGTTGTTCCATGACCTTCCCCTGTGCGGCTTTGTTTCCTTTTCTTCCGTATTCCTGTTGGTCTAGGACTAGCTTTCTGGCTGCAGCAATGCAGGCGCTCCCTGGATGCCTGTGTCTGCACACCACCACACATGTTCTCAGTAACACGATCACAAAAATTGTGTGTAACAGTAACATGTGCAATGGCGTACAACTTCCATAATGGAATTTTTAGGTGTAGCAAAATGTATGATTCAATCTGCTTCTCTGGGCAATTTTGCATATTGGCTCCTGAGAGGTGTGTCCCCTACAGGAAGAATGTGCAACTGCCTATCGTTTTAATAGGCATCACCACAGCTCTGTTTTCAGAGAGGAAACCAGACGAATCTGAAGGAAGTGCTGTGAAGTGACGGGTCCTTCTGCCTCTGTCCCCTGTACTGCACTGCTCCCTCCCTGTGCCTTCATAGGACATTATTTCCTCCCAGAGGGGATAGCAGAACCTGGCACTGACCTGCACTTCTTTGTAGAGGTTCTGTGGGGTCAGGTGCCCTGTCTGTTAGAGTTTTTAGTCTTGGCAATGGCAAATCTTTCTGCCTTCTTTGCAGATCTGTCTGGTGAGCACTCAGCCCTCCTTGGATCTTTTCCACGTCCGGCAATAATCAGAACATACACGGTTTATGCATCCACGAAGACCATGTCCTCAGGTCAGGCTGCCACTTCTGGGGAGCAGACCAGTTTCCAGCTTGACTACCGTCCCAAGCTGGGTGACCTTGGGCAGATCACTTAGCTTCTCTGAACCGCAGGTCATTTCTTATTTACATAATGGGATTAATAATGTCTAAATCGAAAGATTATTTCGAGGACTCAATGAGCCAGTGTTTGCCAAGGGCTTAGCGACATGCAACACATAATGCCTGGTCAAACAGTGCCAGCTCTCGTCATTAGTAGAGTTTCTTTAAGCACTCTTTGAGCCGGCAGTACTGGAAGCCATGGCGAAGGATGCATCAAGTTCCATTTGGACTCTCTCATGCCTTGATTGCCAGCAGTTTGTAGTTGAGGGAGGGTTCTAGCAATGAAATTGTCAATCAAAGCATAGCAGGTGGTGTCCCCTGGAAGCAGGGAGCTCAGTGAGAGAGCCTGGAGCCCCCCCCACCCCCAGGCCCAGGAAGCTGACTGGGAACAGCTAGGACCAAGGAGCAGAGGCGGTGCTTGAGGCTTTCTTTCCACCTAGGAGCCCTCTCCCCCAACAAGCAGAAAGGGTCCGCATTTCATGTTCTCACTTTTCAAACATTATGTTTGAAAGGGCTGCGCAAGTTCAGTCTCTGTGTGGAAAGGCCAAGTAAAATAACTTGCCTTGTAATCCTAGAGCTGGGGAAGTAGAGAGAGGCAGAACCCCCAGATTCAGTGGCCAGCCACCCTGTTTAGTTGGTGAATTCCAGGTTAGAGGGAGACATGTCTCAAAAAAAACCAGGTTGTGTTGTCAGTACCTCTGGCCTCTTCTACATGTCTGTACAAGTACGCATATCTGCCAGTACACATATGGGCCCCCCACATACATCCAAAGACTGTGTATGCCAGTATTATGTGCAGAGAATATAAGCAGTGGAAACTTTTTAAAACGTAATTAAAATTGTGTATGATTTAACCTGATTCTCAGGACAGTTATGTATAATTCTTGCTCCCAGAGAGTGCGCCCCCTACAGGTAGTACACACAGTGCCCATTATTTGCATATTTATCAGCCTAGGGACTACCTCCCTTTCCTGCTTGACAATCACTCTTTACAAAGTAGTTGAGAAAGCAGGAGACACTGACATTTTCCACACTCTGTCTGTGGAAATACAGCTGGCCTTTGCCTCCTCCCTCCCACAAGCTGGTGACCAGCTCTACAGGTGAGACCCAGGCCCTCCTGTCTGGCCAGGGGTGGGACTCGAGTGGGAGGCTGTGTCCATGCCAGCAATCAGTGTGCCAGGCCAGGCTGGTCAAAGTTGACTCTGGCCCCTGGCTTGGGAGGAAGGATGATGGATACCCTGTCTGGTATCAATGCCTTTCTTGGTCCTTATCTTCCGAGGAAATGCTGCCAAATGTTATCACAGACTGAATAGATTAAAAGCAGAACTTTGAACTCAGCTGCTCGGTGAGGTCTCCCTGGAGTGAATCTCAGCTCTGCTTTGGCACCGCCCTGGTGCCTTGCCTGCTCGCTGAAAACCCAGCTGCGGCTCAGTCATAGCTCTGCTCTGGGGAGGGCCCAGAACTCCCATTTTCACAGATTTGCTTGGGTAGGAAACATTTAATAAATTTACATGCACAAGACACCTTCAGCCTGCTCGCTTCAACCTTTTGGTTTCTTTCTTAGTTAAAATTATTTTAAACAATATATTTTAATCACATTCCCCCCTCCCAACTCTTACTTCTTCCAGATCCTCCCTAACTCCCTAACCCAGCCAACTTCTTTCTCTCCCTTATTCCTTTTTCCTCCCTCCCTCCCTTTTGGCTTTCATTGTTGTTGCTAGTTTTTAGTTTGTCTTTTTAAAAGTGTATTATATTTTCCAGTATGGCATTTGGCCACAACAACAAGAAAAATAGCTAATTCTGGACTTCAGATCAGAGACAAAGCTGTTGTGAAACGGGCTGCCTTTTGCAGACCACTGTCCTGGGACTTGACTAAATTCCCAGCTTTTCCTGCAGGCTTGGATTCAAGTTCAAGTTCAACATCAGCTCTCATCTAAATTATCACCCCAGCTCTTGCATAAACACCTATCCTGAGTTCTTTGAGACAGCAGAGAAATTGCTTTGGTAAGTTTTTTTTGAGTTGTGTGGGAGACATCTGTCCAGAAAGCCACCGTGTTGGCAGGTGTCCTTAGAAGGATGCTCTAGCTGTCAGGTGCAGAAAGAAACGTCTTTAGTAAGGCAGCTCGTGGGATGAGTCTCCTTCACTGTAGCATAGACGGGCAGAGTAGGTTTCCACAAGGGCAGTTTTTAAGAATCTCTGTGAAAATGCCTGCCTCCATCTGTCTCCTCTCTGGTTGTTGGCTTCAGATGAGCTGAGCCATTTAAAAATTCCCCAACAAGAGACCCCAGGCACCGGAAGAAGTGATGAACAGATTTTCAATTTGGCCTTAATTTGCATGAATCGTTTCTCTCCCCTTTAACACTTTAAATCACTGTCTTAGATGGCATACTGGAAATGGGGAGTAAGTTTTCTTTGGAGGTGGCCAATTCTTGGTTGGCCTGGAGATGGCTGAGGGTCTAACCTTAACTCCAGAGAGGTGAGAGACGACACAGACAAGACTCAGAATGGTACCCGGAGTTGTGGCCCAGGATTTAAGTCATTTCTTACAGCTTTGGCCTAGAACTCTTACAAGAGCTTTCTCCAGTAGGCAACCCCTTTTGTGGTTTCCCTCTGTCATTTTTCTTATCCAGGACAGACAGTGAAGTTCTCAGTTATAGCCGGAAAAGGCTGTGGGTATGTTGAAGCCCTAAGTGTATGATATTTGGTGATGTGTTTGGTGGGGGTGTGGGGGTGAGTGATGGTAACTGAGAGTAATACACGGTAATGACAGTTAAGCTTGTTAAGTACTTTTTTTTTTCATTCATCTCAGATACTGTCCTGGGCTTTTATTCTTATCTCTTGTTTGCCACATAACTCTTTTTCAGCTTGGATGAGAAGTTAAGAAATGTGCTCCATTTCTTGGCTAGCGGATCACGGTAGAGCTGGATTTGAACCTAGGAAGTCTGCTTAGGGCCTGTGTTCCTAGTCTCAACTAATGCTAGCTTTTCCCCTGAGCTGCCCCTCTGTCATAACACAGAGTAGAGTCTTTATGTACTGTGTCACATATGAGTCTAATCCCTTGAGCAGTCCTTTGCACATCAGGCTAATGGTCTCCAGAACCTTCTTGGGGACAGCTGATACTGGTAAAAGAATCTTCCGATTCAGAAGGGAGATTGGCTAGCTCTTACCCTGCAGTGAGTCCCTCTGACTTCTTCTCTCTTCCTTCTTGGATGGATTCAAGATCTGTTTCCTACCTTAAAGGTCTTGGTTTTCATTCAGACCCCCTCAGAGTGATGTTAGGTCAGAAACTCTGAAGAACACAGATTTCTCTGTGTAACAGCCCTGGCTGTCCTGGAAATTGCTTTGTAGACCAGGCTGGCCTTGAACTCACAGAAATCCACCTACCTCTTCTCCAAGTGCTGGGATTAAAGGTGTGTACCATCACCCAGCTCTGAAGAAGACTTTTTGAGAAGGATTTTTTGTCTGGTGGAAAGCATGATGGGTCCACATAGTAAAAATAGCAATATAACCTCTATATCCAAATTAGGATAAAACTCTTACCATGGATAAACTCTTTCTATCCCAAAGGAAGACATGAGTGGAAACTTTCTCTGTAACCTTGTCCTGGAAAGCCACCCCTGGCTGTTACTTAAAATTTGTCTTTCAGGCCATAGAAAGAAATGGGCAACAACTTGAGTCTAGTCAAGAAAGGAGGCCAGTGGATAGAGAATAGGATTGGCTTGCACATTATGATTCCCTGCGCAAGCCACATGGCACTGTAGGTGGCTCATCAGCTATTGCTCACTGATGGTCCTCATCACTCTGGCAGCCAGTAAACTGGGCAACTTGAGCTCCGGGGTCTCAATAACTATTTCCCTCCTCCCTTTAAGTAGTTTCCTGTTCTGTATGTACTGTGATGTTGGACATACAATGTCAGAAAAGCCTGTAATCAAGGTGGAACTGCCCAGAAAGTTTAAGGATTATATCAGTATAATTAATTCAAGACTTAGACAAAGCCTGTGACAGTTTGGCAAGAGTTACCCACTGCAGCTCTTGGCAGACTCATCATCACTGTACCTTATAGACCCCTTCTGGTACTGACAGGTAAACTGAGGTCACAGACAGGAAGTTTATTCATGACAGATCGCAGGTTACTTGAAATTCAGGCTCTGGATCTTTCTGCATCGGCTCATGCCCTTCTTGGAGATTGATTTGAGAACGATCTGTATAAGGGCTTTCAATTATGATAACATTCACCTATTTATTCCGCCAGTCACTCGGAAGGATTTGTAATGTGCTGGGTACCATATTGGATGGACATGGACAGAGTATGAACTGGTCATCCATCCCTTCATAGAGTTATTTTGTAGAATACAGACAGTCAGCCTGTATTAGGTAAATGGACACTGTCAGAAGGTGGTGAGGTCAATGGGGAAAGTCAGGAAGGAACAGAGTCCACAAGGGACAGACCTCAGGTTGGAGACCAGCAGGAACTCTTGAAGAATGGTGAGAGAACAGAACAAAGTGTTGTCATTCTGTCACAGGCCCCTTCATTGACAACGCCCTAGACTGAAAAATGTCAAGAAGTGGGGCTTTAAACCAGAGTCTGCAATTTGGAAGACCGTGAGAGAGATGCAGAGAGATAGAGTCACCTCAGGGACCAAGGAGAGACCGAGACAGATTTGGAACTGTTGAGATCAGGACAAAGGGAAGTGAGACTCGGCTGAGCTCGGAGGACATGGCATCACATGCAATCCAAGGATAGCAGAAGCAAGGTGCAGGTAGTCCTCAACAGGTGGTAGAGAAAGAATGTGGCAGGAAGGAAGGGATGAGACCAGAGGTAACATTCAAGAGCAACAAGGGGGACTATGGAGCTTGTCTGCTGGGCTCTTAATATTTTTATAGCCAGAAGAAGAAGAAAAGAGGCGGCTTTATAAATGTCCCACTGGTGACTGTGGAGACTTGTGCTGAATGAATGAGAAGGGGGCTATAATCCTCAGCTTGACCAGCATCTGAGATTATGATGTGGAGGGAGGAATGAGATCCAGTTCTATCTAGAAGAGAGTTGGCTGTAGAAGGAGACTCTGAGATCAGACCCTGGTACCATCCTTCCTCCTGTTGACCTCTGCACCAGCTAGGAGCCATCATTTCCAGATTACCTCCTAGCACACAGGTACCAAAGTGACTTGTGCCTTTTTGCAACATTTCCCACAGTGGAACATAAACTTGAATGATTAATGGCTATGTCTTTCATTGCTTGGGAATGCTGAGGGGACCCGGTACATGAGAGGAAGGACTTCATGCTTGGGTTTTGTCCTCTTAGGTCTGAGGGTGTTTTTCTGGGTTTTGAAAGAACCAGCAGCATCCTTTTATGAGCATGTGACAGCTTTTCTTGATGATGACAGGAGGACTGAGTGCCTGAGGACATGCCCCAGCTGTCTAAACTGATGGTGCGGCTGTTGTACTCAGCCAAGTCTCTCTTTCACAGTCTCCTTCCCTGAGTATGACTTGTACTTGGCTGGTCAAAGTGAAGTAGACTCTGGGAGATAGCCACTCGGGACAGCTGATGTCATTGCAGATGTTCTTGGAGGTGGAACTGGGCAGGAGGATGTGCCTGTATACCCTGCAGCAAAGAAGCTGAGGGTCTTGAGTTTCTACAAAGCAGTAGCGCAACTTTGGGAGGTTGAGAATTGAGGATCCAGGGCTGGGCCCTTTGGTTTGTTGTATTTGGATTTTTAGAAGGAGAAGCACTAATCCCTGTACTCAGTGTCTCTTGCAGGAAGCATAGGCTCAAATCTGGAAGGGGAATAGCATGGTGGTTAATTCCACATCCTACCAAATACCATTCTGGGCCACTCTAAGGTAGATAGAGGTTGAATGGTGAATGGGGGTTTTCTGGTTCCAGAGTCATAACTAGGGAATTAAGGAGCCCCAGGCTCATGAGTAGTGGAGATAGCCAGGCTGCTAAGACTAGATACATGAGATGTAGATGTAAGAAAGGATCCCCACTTGGTGGCAGAACTGGTGCTGAAATCTGGTACACCACCACTTCTAGCCCAGTACCTCCCCAGCTCTCTGGGGTATTGAGAAGGACAAACTGACAAGCCGTGGGGGCTACTGTGTGGCAGGTGGGTTTGAGCACTAGCCATGTGCAGACACTGCTGTGCTACTGTAGGCGTTCCCGCCCTCTCTGGGTGGGTGGAAGTGGGTGTGCACTTTGTGCTTAATTATAGTGCACACAAGCAGAGAGGAGCTGCTCAGAAGCACATGCCATTTTGTTTGGGGATAATAGACATGCAGTCTGGAAAATATCTATTATCTCATCCTGTCCTACTTCTCCCAGAGCTTCTGAGGTCTGCATCAGATTGTTTGGGCTTTCTTTAGCAGTGCCTCACACAGAGGGCCCTGGGCAGGGCTTCTGGGAAGGTGGTGAACCCATGTTTTTTTAGGGGGGATGGTCATCTTTTTATCCATGGGTTTGGTTCTGGAGACCCTGCTCTCTGGTGCTTTGGAAGTTAGAGAGCCTGGAATCTTCTAGCCATGACCACTGAGTCTCTGCCTTCTCATATCTGGGGTTTCACAATGGCACAGACAGCGTCCCCTCAGTAGTCCCGAACAAAGAGAGACATGGCCATCAGTCATTCAAGTTTATGTCCCACTGTCGGAAATACTGCAAAAGAGCACAAGTCCCTTTGGTACCTGCATGTTGGGAGGTAATCTGGAAATGATGGCTCCTAGCTGGTTCAGAGGTCACCAGGAGGAGGGATGGTGCCAGGGTCTGACCTCAGAGTCTCCTTCTACAGCCAACTCTCTTCTGGATAGAACTTAACATTTCATAACTCTGTGTCCTTATATAAATTCTCTCCCTAGATCATTTACCACCCCACCCAACTGTTTTTTCTAAGGAATCTGTATTAATTCAGCTACACTTAATTTGTAACCTATACAATGGAACCTTCTTGGACATCACAGTTAAGTGATCATTTGGCTTCTTCCTTGATGTTCTTGTCCTTGTCCTATAATTTCCAGAGCATTTATCAATTAGATGTGATCAGTTCCCAGGTGTGTGGGCACCGTATCTCCTCTATCTTTTGTTCTTAGGTGGTGTGCATTAAGAGCCAAACTTCCCTTTTCGTTTAAGTTTCATACATGAAAACTATTTTTACAGCATTACTCTCCTGCATCTCCCTTCTCCAAATCCTCCCATGTCCACCCACTCTCTCAAATTATTCTTCTTTAATTTGTATTTAAACACACACACAGACACAGACACAGACAGACAGACAGACAGACAGACAGACACACACACACACACACACACACACACACACACACACAGACAGACAGACAGACAGACACACACACACACACACACACACACACACATATATATATATATATATATATACTATTGAGTCTCCATAGTGTTATTTGTTTGTATGTGTGCTTAGGGCTGATCATTGAGGATGGGAGAGCCCATCAGGGTTCTCAGAATGAGACTGATTCTCCTTCCAGCAGCCATTAATTGTCTATAGATCTTCATCTACAGATAGGGCCTTGTGAGATTTACCCCATCCATACTGGCATGGCATCTCCTGTCATTGTGCAGGCCTTGCTTAGATGACTATATTGGTGAGAGTTACTGATTATAACTTCCTAATGGTTATAACTTCCATCTCCCATATAGAAGACATTGTCTTGCAACTGCTTTCCTGATCTTCTGGATCTGTAAATGTATGTATATCTATATAGTTTAAATAAAGTTATGCTAACTGGGGTGTTAATGCTCCCCTCCCCCCACCAAGAGCCAAATACTCTCAAACAAAAACTCCAGTGTCAGACATGGGAAACCTTATTTCAGGTTGCTGGTCAGTGGAGCCCGAGAGACCCCTCAAATAATATAGGCTATTGCTATTTCATTTGGTGGCCTCACAGAACTTGAAAGTAAGGCCTCATTGCTGAAGACCTCACACATTCATACATTTTAGATACTGGATTTGGAGACATTGAGCTGGAACTGCTCTGCAAACCTCTTCCTTGATGACTAACTCTTATATATATGAAGGGGCTATGCAAGCTTCTAAGGGAGAAAAGCAACCAGTCGTCCAATTCAGCTGTAAAACCCATGACCGCATCAATGACCAGTCCAGCAGTGGTGTAGTAGTGGCACTCACATCTTGGGATTAACCAGCAGTTGTCTAATTGGACTTAGGGATCTCTCAATAATAGAGTTCATGCCTGGTACTATAAACCCAGCTAACTACCCATGCTGGTGAGGTCATGGACACTAGAGAATCTACCACTGCCACATTCCTAACCCAGTGTAATTATATCTGCCTTCTAAGTTCTGTCTTTGTGAACTGAACTGAAACGAATCTCCATTACGATGTTAGACTAAGACCACTGATGATAGAGCCCTGCCCAAAGCTCGGGGGCTTTTCCCAGAGGGATCTGCAAAGGGGAGCATCAATAACTGTCTGTGTGTCATTAGCAAGTGCCCAGTTATGTCAGGGATTTGGCTTTTTTTTTTTTCTCACCGACTAGAGTGAGCCCTTGAGCCGACCCAGGAGTTCTGAGCAGTTATCACCCGGTATTGATGACCATGTATTCTGCCCCCGTCTCTTTACACCTGGAGATGAAGGAAGAAATACAAACTTCTGTTACAAGAAATGTTTCCCTGGTTTATCAGCTCTCCCCCTCCCAGATGGGGCTCGGAATGATTTCTTAGTTCCCAGCTTTTATGCCTATGATCAAAGTGCCCGAGGCAGTGAGAGTTGGCGGCACTGGCATTTCTGGCTGAGCCCAGTGCCTTCCTCTTCGGGACTGTTGGAAGAACCTGTGGCTCAATGGGTTTTGCACAGGCGAATGTGACCTGGCAGTGGAAGGGGCTCCAGAGGCTGAAGGGTCCCAGCAGCCCTGGGATATTGGGGCTCAGTTGCCCTTCCTCCAGTGGAAACTAATCCCCTGCCGCCGTTGTGTTTCTTTGCCCTCCGCATTCTAACTTGCATCCAGTCAATCACCCCTTTGTGCAGCCGCTTCTTTCTCTCCAATGAATCAAATGCAGAAAAATCCTTGAACGGGATTTCTCACAGCAAAGGATCAAGTAACCTTTCTTTGTTTTCTCCCTTAACATTTTTTTCCCCAACCACAAAAGGAAAACATGCATTAAAGGTGAGAGAAAGAAAGAAAAGTTGTAGTCAAGTAATTTCAAGTTGAGAAGTAGAGCAGCTGAGACCCAGGATAAAAATGTACACTCAGCAATATGGTCCTTTCCTACAAATTAATTAACCCAAAGTGCTTGTTTAATTAGTGTGAGGGGTAGGGAATTGAGGAGCTAACAATATCTCTCACCCAGTTTGGAATTATGTTCACAAAAGAATTTCCTCTTTCCTCCCTGAGAGGATGAGAGAGCTGTCTCATCAATCTCGAGTCAGTGGGGACCTCGAGGCTGGAGATAATTCTTTCAGATGAATCTGCCCTCGAGAGAGGGGACTTTGCAGATGTACTACTCCGCAGACTCCCTGCCTCTGACATGGCATAGGAGGGTCTTCACACGGTGAAGGCGGAGGCTGTTCTGTCCTGCTCTTGAGAGAGTGGCTTTGACAATAGTCCACCCAATATCACATCCACAACTTCTGGTATCTGGGCCATTTTCACTTCTCCAGGTCACATCTGTGCTGCACACCAAGGTTCTGCATTTCCTGCTCTTGACGTGAGTAAGAATAGTTGTTTCCTCTCAAGGAACTAGGAAAATTCGATTTCTCAGGTGCTCCAAGAGCTATAGTTTAAGAAAATGCCATAGTCTGCTTGCTATTGCTATAACAAAATACCCAAAACTGGATAATTTATAGTTCATAAAGTTCGTGAGGCCTATATAGTTCTGGGGCTGGAAACTTGATACTAAGATCTGCTTGGCATTTGGTGAGGGATTTATTGTTGTTTTATCACATGGTGGATGGCATCACATTGTGAGGTGAAGTTTGTTAGCCCAGGTTTATCTCCTCTGCTTATACACCATTGATGCCTTATGAGGGCCCTACCTTCATGAGCCAGAAAGTTCCAGTTAACCTCCCAAGGCCCCCCTCTAAATACTCTCAGCATATGAAAATGGGGGTTAAATTCCCAACACTTGAACTTTGGGGGGAAACATTCAACCCACAGCAGATCCTGGGGCTGATATTGCTCCAAGAATTTCTGTGGAGGACATAAGCAGGGGGTCACTGTCGTGGGGGTATGATGGGTTCTTGACCACCCTCTCCACTTTTCCATAGACTCTCTTGGTATCTGGTGAATTATATGGGTTCATTCTTAGAATTCTAATTTTCAATACATAAAAGACGAAGGATTGTAAAGGAAGCTAATTTTTCCAATGGACATTACCAAAATAAATCAGGTATGTGGTCCATTTGTGCATATATTTTTAATGAACTGATTAAAATGCACTGTCTGCTTATAGGTCCAGTTGCTATCATCTGCTTAAAGTGAGTCATAATTTGAAAAATCTTGGACAATCATGCCATACTAAACATAGCCGATTCCTGCTATTGCCAAGTCACAACCATCATGGAAGTGTAGTGGTTCTTGGTAAAATTCACTGTTGAGGGAAACATTTTATTTCAGTAAGACGTTAGTGAACATAAAGCTAGTCTTCATCTGAGTCCATTGACCTTCTGAACTCAAGTCCATTGAACCTTTGGCTGAGTTCCTACTGCGAGACACATGAATTCTTTCTGGTGATAACTGAGCCCTTGCCACTTCTTCATTTCCTTCTATGGGGGCGGAGTGTGGCAACAAAATAGGTTTCCTCCAACTTTTGGGACTGCTTATCACTTTGGTCGAAGAAGAGGTAGAACTGGAACCAAGTGAGAAAGTAGGCTGTGTTAGGTTATTGGTCTGTACTGCTAGGTGGGGTAAATGGGGAATATGGGCTGAGAGAGATGTATATTGTGTACCACCCTGGACTTCTTGATGAGGAGAGACTACCTGCTTATGGAACAAACTGAGGGAAGTGGCAGCAGACCAGTTGCAAGGGACATGCTGTTAGTCAAGAGGGAGGTGTTGAATTAGGAGCAGCTGGGCTGCGTCCCAGGCACCCGGCCGCCTGCATGGCTAGCTTATGCCCGAAATAATTACACGGAAACTGTATTCTTTCAAACACTGCCTGGCCCGGCTAGTTCCAGATTCTTATTGGCTAGCTCTTACATATTGTTCTAACCCATTTCTAATATTCTGTGTAGCCCACGAGCTGGCTTACCAGGAAGGATCTTAACCTGCATCTGTCTGGAGCGGGAGAATCATGGTGACTCCCTGACTCAGCTTCTTTTTCCCAGCATTCTCCTCTGTCTACTCCGCCTACCTAATTTTCTGTCCTATGAGGGCCGAGGCAGTTTCTTTATTATTAACCAATGAAATCAACAGATAAGATACAAGACCCACCTCCATCAGGGAGGCAAAACCAAGCCCCCGTTTTGAAAACTACCAGCCTGGTCTGTGAAGCCCTTGAACCCTGCAACACGCCTCTCCCGAGCTCATCTGGAAGAGGCACCATTTTGGCATCAAACAGGTGTGGATTCAGACATGCTCCTGAGAACATGGCTCAGGGCCTGCTCTTCCATGTGCTCTGCAGGAAGCAGGAGCCAGCAGTACCAGTAGTGCTTAGAGCTTAGAGCCAATCCCCTGGTGTCATTGCCACCTCCACTGTCTTTCCAGAGTCTCTAAAGCAACCGATTCACACTTTGGGGACAAACAGCTATAAGCCAGTAGCTGGCTTGCCACCTGTTTAGCTCCTCTGATAACTAATAATCTCTGAACAGGAAAACATTTTATCTTTCTTAGTTGCTCTTCAGAGAACCAGAGTGGGTGATTGAACTTCTCTGCTTGAGAAAGAGAAGTTGCTCCGGGTAAGATTTAATTTCAATGAAGAAAAAGTCCCCAAATGTCATTTCCCCTTAGTATGTTTTGTCCTTGAAAATAGAGCTTGCATTAGATAAGTGAATTTCTACCTAAAATCTAGGTTCTCTGATAAAAACTCAGAGCTGTGTTGCTCGGTCCCGGCTTAAAGCCTCGTAAGCAAAGTCTGGGACCCTCGACTCCTCTCTGTCAGCATGAAACATGGGTTCTTCCAGGACATGAGGCTAAAGCCATGACTGAGTGCCCAGCCAAGGCTTCACAGTGAGAGAGATTCCTGGCAGTTCTGAGTCAACTAGGGTTGACAAGCCCTGTTCTTCCTCCTGCGGATGTTCACATGTGTGCAAGAATTTACCTAGTGCTTCTCTGGGCTTCAGATGCAAGAGGCTATTTATCATTTGAGGCCATTCTGTCCCTTCAGAAACCATCGGCTTACACTTGTATTCACAGCATGTGGGAGGCACTGTTGGGCAGCAGAGAAGGTGACAAACAGCGTGCGAACGAGATTCAGGTCATTCCATCAGAGCAAAAGTGTAAAGTGGAAGGAGGGACAAGTGACGGAGTTATCATGAGGAGGGACATGAGGAACTGCCACATGAAAATTGCTCCTGAGAACTTTGGTCTAATTGCTGAGAACGATCTAGACATAAGAAGAGGGTGTTGCGGTCTCTCATGGGTTGGAGTGAGAAAGTGGGTCACGTGGAGCTTTGTTAGGTGCTGATTGTGGAGAGCCTCTGAATATCTGGGATACTCGTGGGTTTATCTTTCACACCTTAGTGAGGATGAAACCCCTTGTTAAGGCAGGTTCACAGGTTGTGTTGTTTTATTAGCATTTTCGTAAACTTGTAACATGACACGAATTCTTCTAATTCTAGAACAAAAGGCATGCAGTCCCAGAGACAAGAATGACTCAACTCGTGTCAAGGCTGAGGACCCTGATACTGGCCAGGAGGAACAGTAGGAGGTTACAGATGGCTCATGCCTCCCTCAGGTTCCTGGAATGATGATCTGGAGCCCAGCTTTGCATCTTTCTAGCCCTCATCAGCCGTGTGTAGCAAAGGCTGATTGTCCTATTGGCTTTAATGTGCAGCCCATTGTCCAATTTGCTTTAAGTCACTAATTGTTTTGTGCTATGTCTATTATAATCTTGTCTGAAAAAGAAAAAGAGAAAGAAATGAGGAGACCCAGAGAAGTTACAGAGCTTGGCTAAAGAATCGAGTATCAGAAGCAAGATTTAAACTATTGCACAGTTCTTTCCTCTGAATGCAAACGTTTCTGCCTGGAGGAAGCCGGGAGAATGGTAAGACTGGGGAAGTAAAGGAAATTTACAAGGCTCAGAAGGGATGACAGATGCAATGTTCCCAAGGTTCCCATGGATACGCTTGCTTGGGTCAGGAGACCATGGCACAGCTATATGTACAGGTTGCTCATTGGGCTCCAGAGACACACCTTTTCTGAGTCATCACCTGGGTAGGCGGGCTTTCTGGTGAGGCACCTGCTTTTGTGTGGCCCATGTGCCTTTAAGTAACCCTTCACCATGCTTGTCTTAAGTAGCTCCAATACACTCACACCAGTTGGCTAATCTAGATTCAGTAGATCCCTGCTTTTCTTTGTTGTCAGTGCCCAATCTGAGCTCCTGCATGTCTGCTCCCTAGGAAAAGCCGAGGAACACAAACCCAGGCAGTTAGGATCTACCACCACAACCCCAACACGAACAAAATATGAGGCGCAATTAGTGAACTCTGGGCAGGCTTCAAAATTGTGTAGTAGTCACATTAAAATCATTTAATAATAAGCAGAGATATTAATCTTAGTGATGCATTTTTCTTAGTCTAACATGTGAAGAATACTATCACTTTGGCATGTAATCAATGCTATAAATAATTAGCGTGACATTTTAAAACATGCTGTGTGTTTTGTGCTTGTAGCCCAAGGACTGTGACATGAGCTTAGCAGCTATGAGTGGTGAGCAATACCACCCTCAAATTTACTTTGCTCCAGTGGGCTCCCTAAGCTGCTCATGGGACTCAAAGAACTTGAGAGCAGAATTGCAGAAGCTGTGATTTCTGGGTGGCAAAGTCATGACTGTGGTGCACAGAGGAATAAATGCAACCAGACGCAAAATATTGATACAAGGACCATTGTGCAGACAGCGGCAATCTGTTGATTACCAAGTCCCGCATTGAGAAGTTGGAGAAGGCTGTTCTTGGGGCTCATGAATACTCTGAGAGCTAGTCCTAGGTCTTCTTAAAGGCTTCCTTCCACCTCTGTGTGTAGCGGGTGCTCTATGCATGGGAAGGTGTCTGGCTCATTAAGCTTCACTACCAAGAACAGTCACATCCAGACAACCAAGGTCATAGCAAGGAGAGTGGGAAAATTGGATTGTCTTAATCCTGTTGTCTCAGCAGCTGTGTTCCTATTTTTTTAACCTGTCTTTGGTTTTTGGTTGATTATTCTGTTGTTATTTGTTTGAGTTCTGTTTTACTCCTCTGATGGAATGGGTATAGTTTGCAGAGACAGCCTAATCATAGCCACTCCGAAAAGCAAGCCTGAGGAAGAGCAGGAAAAATAAGACATGTGAGTTTAGCTTGAAACACACATCCCTTGGGTGTTATTAGATTCTCTAGTGATGGGTTGGGTTGGTCTGAGCCTGAGCTTACTATTAGCCGAAGAGAAGAAAGGCAAAGTAAGTTATGTGAATCACAGAGTAATGGGAGACAAAGCAGAAGTTGCCTAAGAGCATCCCAACTTCAAGCCCTGAGTCATAAAAGCAATTGTTCTGGACTCCTAGAAACAAAACTCCGGGGGCCTCCATGCTAATCTCAGCATCATGTTGCAGCTCAGTGCTGTAAATTCTGCACCTCCATTCTTATGCCAATTAAGGCTTTCTCCTCTTACACCATTTAGACCGAAGGTGTAGCTCTTCTGTACTCTATAGCTATCCCATATCTGCTTTTGGTCAATGTTCTCCAGATCCTCAAAAGAACTGACTTAATCTGGACAAGTATAACGACTTAGAAGAATGTGTCTCTAGTGACGGGACTGTTGTGGGCTCCTCTGGACCTGCTCCTTTGCTCCCTCCATTAATGTGAATATTGCCCATGCCTGTTGTTACGGTCGTCTGTAGACCAGCCCTAAATCAGGACCCATGAGGTTAGGAGTTAATATGATCCTTCTGTAATCCTCTCTGCCACATGTTCGTAGAAAGAAGAAGGCTGATTGCCTAGGCTCCTGGGGGTCTGGTGAAAGTACACCCAGCCAGAGAACCATCACTGGGCTGTGATATACAGGAAAAAAAACCAACTTCTGTTTTGTCAGACTATAAATATAGGATTTATTGGCTAGAGCAGCCGGCAGTGTCTTAACTAATGCAGTGCTCCCTTGGGAAATCCTCCAGAATACCGTTCCTCTCAACCAAGAATGAAGGGTTTAAGCAGCACGAAGCTCAAGGTTATGTACCCTGACAACCACTAGGAATGCAAATAGTCTCTGTTTCAAGGAAGTGGGTGGGTGCGAAGAGTTACATCTCACCAGTCACCTAAGGTGGGAGCAAGATTAACACACTCTTGTCACAGTTCTGCCACCTTGCAGAAACTCTTGCCTGGGTGGAAAGCTTCCCTCTCCTCTTGGAGATAAGCCCGGTGTCCCCAGGTAGAATCAGGATCCTTCTGAGATAGGCATTTTGCTTTAACTCCGCACATGGGAGCAACAGTACTCAGGGCCACTTTGCTTCCTACAGTGAACTCCCATGCAAGAACTTTTGCCTAAAAAAAAGCTTGAAAGAACTATAACCATGTAAAAGTTGAAGCAAACCTTGGACATATACAATACAAGTCCAAGGATTTGTATTGTATATGTATATGTAAACGCACATATGTACATGTGTATGTATATGTATGTATATATCCATCATCGATACCATCTCCTATGTTATTATTATCATCCCTATTTTTCATTAAGAACCCCTAACACACATTCATATTTATTGCTGCTCTAGCTACAATAGAGATGAAATGGAATGAGCCCATATGCTCCTCAACAGATGAATGGATAATGAAGTGTGGTACATATACACTGTGGACTTTTTTTCAGCCACAAATAAAAACGAAATTATGGAGTTTGCAGGTAAATGAATGGATCTGGAAATTATTATCAAGTGGCGTAACCTAGATGCCAAAAACAGTCACTGCATATACCTTTCATTGCAGATTCTAGGTTTTAATGAGAGAGAGAGAGAGAGAGAGAGAGAGAGAGAGAGAGAGAAGAAGATATGCTAGATAGGGGGCAAAGAGTGGAAAAAGAGGGCTTGAGGAGAGAGTAGAGATATAAACATAATGATATAAAAGTAAAAAGGAGGCTAATGGGGGTGGAAGGATACAGGAGTAGGTGCATGGGAAGTTGAAGAAGGAGGACCAACAATGCAATTTTTGTTTGAAAATGACATAATAAATCTTTGTACTTCACATGTTAATGGAAAATAAAAAAGAACACTACCATAAAAATCTACCCTTAATAAATTAAACACTCAACAACCAATGTAAACTATTGAGAGCAGTTTGTGTTTTGTTTTGTTTTTCCTACTGTGTCCCTAGAGCCGTTGCCCTCTCCCAGTGTAAGCATTTAAGCACCCACTAAGAGATGACCTTTCCTGTGCTGCATAGAGTAAGATGGTTTGCCTGTATGGAGTCATAATGGATCATAATGGAGATTTGGAGTCCAAACTTGATAT